TTCCCCCAAACCTGATTTGTTGACAACTTTCAAAGAACGTTTTTTTTTTTACACGATTCAAGCTAAAAAATAAAATCAGTTGTGATATTTATTCATCACTTTTCCATCTGAGAATTTGCTCAAAGGTGTTGGGTAAAAAGAGGTGAAATTTAAAAAAATTACTTATTTGTGGGATGCCTGGGTGGCTCAGTCGGTTTTGCCTTCAGCTCAGGTCATGATCCCAGGGTCCTGGGATCGAGCCCCATGAGTTCCCTGCTCAGCGAGAAGCCTGCTTCTCCCTCTCCCTGCTGCTCCCCCTACTTGTGCTCCTTCTTGCTTTCTCTCTGACAAATAAAATCTTTAAAAAAAAATTACTGATTTTTATGATGAAATTTGAAATGCTTATCCTTTTCAGAACACTAGATAATTTCATTTTAATGTAATTAATGAAATTCAATTTTTTTATTGTCTAAGATCAGAATCTGGCTCTGACAACCAGATTGGCAAGGGAAGTACTTTATCATGTTGTGTTTTGACTATTAGGTTTCAGGAGCTTTTACTTCCTGAAAAACACTATTTAGTGGGTTAAGCATTTAAATAGCTAGTTCCTGGCAAGATGAGTTTTTAGCATAATGCTAACATCAGGCTGATGAGAAGCATCAGATAAATCCTGTCTCTCTCCAGGACTGTGTTCCTGGTTGGATCATTTGACCTTTTGAGTGATGAGGTAGCTTTTGTCTTCTTTCAAGCCATACAAAGTGTGGGATTTGGTATTTTTAGCTTAAGTGGTGTCTATACTATAGGCTTGGTGAGTAATATGTAATAACCCTTAATAGCCTTGAGGTATATGGTACCAGTGAAGCTCTGCTCTAGTTGTAAAGAACAGGGTCTTTGAAGAGAGAGATTCCTTTTGTTCTATTTTATTTTTTTTAAGATTTTATGGATTTATTTCAGAGAGAGTGCATGTGCACGGGGGCAGAGAGAGAATCTCCAGCAGACTCCGCACTGAGCACGGAGCCTGACTCGGGGCTCGATCTCAGGACCCTGAGATGATGACCTGAGCCAAAACCAAGAGTCAGATGCTCAACTGACTGAGCCCTCCAGGCTCCCCAAGAGAGAGATCCAGTTTAAACCTGGATTCCAAGTTTACAAAACCTGCCTTCCCGGGTAGTTGTGAGGAGTAGCGATCATAGAGCAGAGCGTGCCTGACATGACACGTGCCAAAGGCTCAGTTTGGGCAATTACTGTACCATCATTGCTAGACTGGGGTTTGTATGTTTTCTCATTTTGATTTGTTTCTGGTTTTGTTGGTTTGTTTTTAATTTTTGTCTCGAGTCTCTACACGTAGCTGGTGAGTTATTTATGCATAAGGTTCTCCTGAGCCCTCCCGCCTCTCGGGGCCCCTGCATCTCACCCCGTTAATGGTCAGGCCATTGACTATCCCTTGTTCATCGACTATAATGACATCCTTCCCTTTCTCTTTCAGTTTCGAGGAAGAGCTGGGGCCAGCAGGCCCAGGAATATCAAGAACAGAAGCAATGGTCCTCCAGTAAAGATGGCCACCAAGGCAGCAAGTCCAGCGACTCTGGGGAAGAAGCAGAAAAAGAGTTTATTTTTGTGTAAAGGTCCCCCGTGCAGACGGCACAGGGTGCTCCGTTAGCCATTAGAGAGGAACCAAGGGCAACACCTCTTCCAACTTCCAGTGCTCTTCTCTTGGTGCTTTTTTCTTTTCTTTCTCCTTCTTTCTTTACTTATTTTTTGAAAACAGAAACAGACCCATTTTTGGGGTGGGGGGATTCCAAACACACTGTTTGGTCTTCTCCCCACCCTGGGCATTTGAGTTTGAAGCATTCCTTCTATGCCTTCAGTGAATGCCAGCGACTCTCCATGTGTCCTACTTGAATTTTCTCTGAGGCAGCTACAGTTTGCCCTGCAAGATGAGTTTTGGGAGGTGAACAAAGCAACTGAACACGTAACTCACACACGTAATACCATCGGCTGACCGTGGGGCTCCACTGTGGGTACCCGTGTCACATCTGCACTTGACTTGATAGAGCGATTTATTCTTGATGTATGCAATTGCACATTGTAAGTATATTAACAGAGCACACTAATAAATAATTTGTATAAATTATATATATTAGATCTCGGCTATGGTTTTTACATTCTCCCATGGGGAACTTCTTCCTTCCTGATGTGGAATTGTACATTTAAATTTGGTCGGTGACCTTTGTAGGACCATCAGTAAGCACAGTGAAGAACAGAGTGAAAGAGGCCCACGGCTGATGCTGCCATGTGCCCGGGTCAATGTACATAGTTGATTGGAATGAAATTTTATGAGTATTCGTGATTTTCAAAGGCCTTTAATTTTCTGTCTGCATATTAGCTTTTAATGTATGATTTGAAGAAAGAATACTTTGACACCTGTAAAAAAATCAAAACACTACTCTTTTTAAGACATTTCATAAATACTCACAGGCTGAGGTATTTTATTCATATGTATATTTATACCAATAAAATGGTTTTACAAGTGGAATTTTGATCTTCTCTGGTTACTTTTTTTAAAAAAAGATTTAGACAACAGGAGGGGCAGAGGGAGCAGAAGAGAGAATCTCAAGCAGATCTCCCGCTGAGCGTGGAGCCCGATGGGGGCTCGATCTCATGACCCTGAGATCATGACCTGAGCTGAAACCAAGAGTTGGACGCTTTACCGACTGCGCCGTCCAGGCGCCCCCTATGGTTACATTTTAAAGTTAGGATTGGCTTGTGGTCATCTGGTCTGGCCAGATGGCAGGAGGCCTGAGCATGGCGGGGGGCGGGGCGGGGGGGGGGGCGCCAGCCTCCCAGAAAATTCCAAGACAGAAGTAGAATGGCTGCTGGGAGGGGTCTGGGAGTCTTCCCATTAAGCTAAATTACAGTGATGATTTTCCTGCTTGTGCCGTGTACAAGCCCAGAACAAAGGAGGAGGCTAATTCACAGCGCATCCCAGGGATGCCAGGCTGGGGCCGAATAATCCAGGAGTCACCTCTGCTTGTTTGGGGCACAGGTGGCTACATCATGCAGGCTGACCTTCCAATGTTACTTTTCCTAAATTTCACAATGGTCACTTGTCTACTTCGCACGTGGCCTCGGCCGGCAATTGTCAGGCGTGGGTCAGGGGTTGGAGAGGAGTCAAAGTGCAACTAAAAACTGGTCACTGAAAATTCAGGAGGAGAATCATTGACCCCTGGTTTATGAGGACGGGGAGACACACCTGCAGGAGCAAAGCACTGTACCCCATCCGGAGTATCTTGAAGGGGGCCTCAGTGCCTACCACTTCTAAATCAAAATTTTTTTTTAATTTTTACTACTTGAATTTCAGGGTAGTTAACTTTTCTTTCTAATATTCCATATCCTATTTTATTTATGTACAATTATAGAAAATTGTATTTATATAAAATCTGTTTTCTGAGAAGGGGTCACTAGACCTCATAAGACTTCCAGAGAAGAATGAAGTTTCAAGCAAGGTGAGAGACTGGCTCTATGAGCTGCCCCAGGCCCCACGGGGCAGGGCAGACACTTCTGGAAATGAAAAGGAAGTGGCTCTTCTGGGCACAGATTCCCTCCTGTTGTCTTCGAAGCTCTTTTCTGTCTTCCTAAACCATGGGTGCCCCCGAAAAATCTTTCTCGTTGGGTCCAGGAAGTGCCTAACATTTAAAAATCAAATTTATTTGTGAGGCACAAGTAGTTCTAAGAGTTGGAACAGGAGCTCAAACGGCAGTGTAAAAGCATCGTCTTTGAGGCCGACGTGGACACAGGGCGGCTGGGCGCAGCTCTGGTCAGAAGCGAGAAGCCGGATGGTTTTCCTCCATCAAGGTGAACAGCAGGAGGGCTTGGTCTTCCAAGAGAGAGCCTAGGAGACCGACGTAGGATGTGGGGTTTTCTTAATGGGGGCATAATTGACTTAGAAGATTATATTAGCTTCAGGTGTACAACATGATTTATAATGGCATATATTGCAAAATGATACACACACAGTAAGTCTAGTTCACATCTGTCCCTATAGTCACAAAAGATTTTTTTTTCTTGTGATGAGGACTTTCAAGATCTACTCTCTTAAAAACTGTAAATTAATTTGCAATACAGTATCATTAACCACAATCACCATGTTGTACATGGCGCTCCCGGGACTCGTTTATTTTATAACTGGAAGTTTGTGCCTTTTGACCTGAGTCACCCATTTTGCTCACCCTCCACCCCCTGTGTCTAAGAGCCTGGGTTTTCGGCTTGGTCGGTTGGTTTTTGTTTCTTTGATTCCACACGTAGGTGAGATCACACGGTATTTGTCTTCAGCGGACATGTCACTCAGCATAACGCCATCAAATCCACTCGTGGCAAATGGCAACATTTTACTCTTTTTTACGGCTGAATAGTAGGTTTGACTATTACTCAGGCACGATGAGGTCTACAGATCTGGAGACGCCCGCCATCGTCAAGGTAGTTGGTTACCCCCCGGGGGGAAACCCACCATGTCACACAAGGCCCCACGGGAAGCGCTGGGCTCGGTCAGGAGGCAGAAGCAGCAAGGGGAGGACATGGCCAAGAGCCTGTACTGGGATTTCCACGAGAAGGAAGAGACCAGGCATGGTGAGGAGGCTTAGGATTGGCTAGTTTGACTCGTTTTCGCGGGTTCTGGAGTACTGTGGCTGTCCTGAGTCGACTGGTAGCTGGCCCAGGAGCGATGAGAGCCGGGCCGGAGGGGCGCAGAGTGTGGGCGCCCGCAGAGGACGTGGCAGGTGAGTGGGCGCGGGATGGGCTCGTTTGCACACTCCCAGGTGAGGTACGTGTACAATCTCCAGGAGCTAGCTAGCCCTGGGAGGGGCGGTCCCTCCAGTCTCAGCAAGGAACCAGATGTCAAAGCCTGGGAATTACAGAAAATAAAGGCCCCAGAGGATTCCTGGCTGGAGGCGCGGTACACTCTGGGGAGAAGGTCTGCCTCCAACCTCTGAGGAGAACATCTTGGGCTCTCCTACACAGCCGAATGTTCTCATGGAAATACGCCTTCGGGCATCTTCCCAGCGCCCTGGCCTCTTCCCACCCACCCCCCGACACCCCTCATCCTCCTGCTGGGCTAGAGAGAAAGGGGCTCAGCTTGCCTGGATTTGTGGGTCCCGGGGGGGTTCTGAGGCTGAGGAGAGGAGCAGAGGGGTGGAAACCGGCACCCCGAGTGCCCTCGGGTCTGAGGGCAGTCTCCTGGTCCGGAAGGGGCTGGCCCCAAGGGGACTTTGGGCTTGGCCGGCTTGAGCCTGTCCGAGCAGGAAAAGCGATCGCTTCAGTCCTGTTGCTACAGGAGTGCCCGTTCTGGGAGGATGGCTGTGCTAACGGCGGGTCCCGAAGAGGCTCCGTAAGACCCTCTGACCATGGAACAGCTTTAAAAATAAAAAAGTCTGTGTCACTAATGAGGTCAGCTGAAAGAGGGAGGAGGCGATTACCCAAGTCCCGGGAGCACGAACATGTTAATTAGACTGGTTCTTCCTGGAAAGGGCGAGCCAAAGAACCTTCCACCTCACTAAACCCGAGTTTATTTCATCGAGCCCCTGGCCAGAAGTTAGCTCGCCAGCCGCTGGTGGGAGGCAAGCAAAGCGAGGCCCTGAGGCGGAGGAAGGGATGTGCAGACGGCTCTGATGGCCGGCAGCCTCCCTCTCGTCGGCACTGCGGTGAAAGGACCCGCACTGACAGCCATGATGACAAGCAGCAAGAACCCCGAGCGCCACATGGGGTTCCTGCAAATCTCCCGCCGCCAGCACGTGGCTCCTGACATTCCCAGTGTTCCGCGGGAAGGAGGGCCGTGCAGGTGGCCCCTTGGGTGGCCGGCAAGGCTGGGCCAGCGCTACCACGGCGAGGTGCCTTGTAGAAGGAGGAGGAAGGATCGACGTGCGCCTTGCCTCTGTCTCTTCCCCAGTGGCACCTGGAAGAAGAATCCTGCGGGGCTCCCAGAGACAGCATCACACAGAGCATGTCCAAGTGCAGCCGCGTCGCTGGGTCCCCAGTCGTCAGCCCCGGAATCTGGCCGCACAGCACATTCCCTCCTCCTTCCCTGACTCCTGACAACATCTGCAACACCAGCCCGGCTTCTCGCCACCCGTTACGGTGTCTCGTTCCCTTAACAGGGTCTGCGTTTGTTGAGCAGCTATTATGTGTCAGGAAATGGTCTGCGTGCTGGTCTGTCTGCTAAGACAAAGTTTCTATCCTCTGACTCATGAAGCTTTGAACTCAGGGAACCAACAGTCTAAAAAAAGAGACAAGAAATAAACTAGTAAACAGATGACGTCATTTCACATAATGAGAGCTCTCTGCGTGTCAAGGGAATAGGCAGTAATGACGGGGGGCAGCGTGGCTATTTGGATACGAGAGGGTGCTTTTTCCCCGATAATATTGTTTCCTATTAATTTATGCTCCCCCATTGTGGTGGGTGCTGGGAGGCACCACCGGATCTCGGTTTAGGAATAACAGATTTACTGCTTTGGCTGCCACAGGTCACCTTGCTCCAGGTCAGACCCCTGCCCCTGGGGCTGGTCAGTGCAAGAGTGTCAAGGTCTCAGTCCTTGACCCCAAACCAGGACAGCTGTGGAAGGTCACCCCACATCCAAAACTCTCCAGAGCATCGTAGCTCAACTTCGCCCTCTGCCCAATCTCGATTCCTTCCTTCCTTCCTGTCAGTGTTGATCCAAGAGCTCATCCCAATAACGCTCTTCCACAATGATGTCTAACTCAGAGATGGCTTTCTGGTGAGCCAGTCTGCATCAACTTTGAACAAAATGAATTCAAAATATTTCAATTTGAAGTAGTGATGTTGAGGTTATTTAATGGACCCTACGTATAGTTCATATCAATAGGTGTGGTGGCCACTCTAAGACCCCCTGGGACTGCACACCCAGGTCCCCTCCCCTGCAGACACAGCATCCCGCTCTTTTCCGCAGGAGGGTGTGGGAGAGCAGAAGAGCTCGCTCTTGGCATTTCCTGGCCGAAGAAAGGATGCCCTCTGGGGAGAAGGTCGGCCCTTGCAGCTTGTTTAGGAGAGCAAACTAGTTTTCCATTAGCAGAAGCTGCATAAATTGGGTTTTGGAAACATCCAGGATCTCCCCCTCCAGTTCTCCCCAGTGCCGCTGCCCCCTCTCCTTACCACTCCAGAAGAAACGGGCTGTGATCTCTTCATCAACAAATATTTACACATCTGCCATCTGCCCAGCGCCAGGCTGTGAATGTCCCGTCTCCTTGGAAACCGCGCCGGGGCCAGCATTACCCAGAGCCGGCCCACCTGGGAGCCGCCCCGGGAGAGCTGAGGTCTCCTGGGAACCTTTCAGAGCCGCTGGTATTGGTTTGAGGGGCCTTAACGGCTTTAGCTCGGGTTTGCCCATTTTCTTTCTTCCCGTCCCGTGGCGTCCTTCCCACTTTCACCGAGAGCTGCTGCCCGCGGAGCGCTACCCTGGCTTCCCTGCCCCTCACTTTGCTTGTTCCCCTCAAAGGCATGTGCCAACAGCATGCGCTTCG